TACACTGCAGCCAGAGATTTTCTCTGTCTCCAAGATGTCCATTGCCACACCCCAAACCAGGGGAGAAGAAAACCACTGTGGTGTAGGGTAGGAGCCTGTGAGATGTGCACTCCTGGATATGAGCACTGGGCGTTGGTACAGGAAATAGGCTCACATCCTTATGTGCTACCATGAAGTAAAACAGTGAAGATGGACTGAGAAATGCTCTCTTCATTCCATAAACAGCTATAGCTCTGAAAAGAGAGGCAGTAATAAAACACTACTAAATATTCAGTGATTCCAAAGAAATCTCTCAAAAATCTATCACCACAGAATGTGGGACAATATTTTGAATCAAAGATGTAAACACACCAAGAACTGAGATCCAAAGTACAGTTAGGTTTTCCTCTTCCTCTAATTGTCTGTCTGCTGTCAAATATTCTTCTCCTATCTGTGCCAAGGCCAACCTTTAGGTAGAGCTGGCAGGTTCCCCAGATTTATCAGTATTACATTTCTAACAACACTGAAGCTGCTGTATATGCTTTCTGTCTGTTGTAATAGCTTCAAAGCACTAATTAAATAATGGTAGCAACTATTCTGAACTTCCCAATGAAATCAATATGGATCAATGATGTCAAGCCATCACGCTGTACAGGTCAGTCTATGAGCAGCTCTGAAAAGAACCACCATTTCTGTCACTCTTTGTGTGTTATCTTTTGATAACATCTGTCATGTCTTTTTATCACTGATACCATGAACTCATGTGATTAACCCTTTCTGCATACTGTCCACTGACTGCTGCACCTAATAAGTTATGCACTGAAGATCTAAACAGAACTTGTGTTATAATTTAAAGGTATGCTTGCATGTGTTGAAGATTGATAAAACCAGAACCATTTCATCCTTGAACACTCCCCATTCAGTGGTCCTAAATACAGAGAGCCATCTACTCTTGCCTTCAACAGCACTTCATTCTCTATTTCATGATCCTGATCCATGACGAGCAGCCAAGCCTAATACTTAATACCTACCTGAAGAGAGAATTAAGCCAGACTCCAGGATCAAGCATTATACTTGACCTTTTAAATTTTGTTCCAATCAATACCTCAAAAATTGATTTCTCTCTTATTCAGTACACCCAAATGGTTTCATTGAACTGAAAGATTACATGACCTCCCAACAGGAAAAGGCCACCAGAACCTATTCTCTAGTCTGTGTTATAGAAAAGCCCTAATCAACAACCAGGGAGTATCTGAGAATACCAAACACATCCACCTCAATTTTTATTCAACAATCATACCAGCAGTGCTGTTCAGAGGAAATTATGGCCAGAATATTAAATATCAAATTTTTAGACTTGGTTAAACATCTGGCAGCAGAACACAGCTGGATTTGGGCTGCACAGGAGTGCAACATCAGCCATTGCCAGTTCATTGTATAGAATGAGAATATTTCCTGAGTGAAATGCAACCAAGGACTCGCACACACCAACTCCCTGGGAAGTGATGACTTCCCCCAGGGCACTTTTAACCTACAATAAGCCAGGTGAGCACGTTTGTGCCTGTTTGTCCCCATCAGCACTAAATGCTTCACTCCTAGGAGGTGGTGAGGCCCAAAGGAGGAATCCCAGGTCCCTTCCCAGCAGCTTTCCAGGCACTCTGCCCTCACCTGTCACAGTGCACAGGGTCACTGTGTCCCCAGGACAGCACTGAGACTTTTGTGCCACCCATTGGGGATTGTGGAAGGAGCTTTGAGTGAGTTAAACATGGGAGCTCTGAGTTGCTTTTGATGATGTGGTTTATTTCTTTATATTCTACATAGGTAGGAAGGGTGAGTTCAGCTCACATCTTTACTGCATGGTTCAGAAGGTCACAAGAATCTTACTTGCAAGACTTTAAAGGATTTATTGACTAATAAAACACTGTTAACAAGGATATTTATGGTTTTGACCTAATCTTTAAATATTTCATCTTATGGACTCATGCTACAGTGTAAGCTTTCTTAGTTAATCATGTTATGACACATAAACTTACAGTACTGCATTCTAAACTCCTTGTTTACCTACGTACTTTTTTTTTCTGTATCTTAAACTCTAAAACTCTAAACTTTCCTTTACTTAAGGTGTTTCTGCTTTAAACTATAAATCTGCATTCTTGCATCTAGCACCTAAGTTTGGAAGATTTTTCCAAGGTCTCAAATCAAATCCTGTGTTTAATTCTAAACTTTGGCTTACAAGACCAAAGTTCTGAGAGTTCCTTCCATTTCAGATTCCAACATCTCCCCCTTCATTTTGTATTAAGAATACTCTTTTGATGGTTTTGTTAATTATTTTTTGTATGTACTGCAGTAGGTAAGGTGTTGTTTTAAGTATAATTATGATGATAATTAAAATATACATGCTTATCTTTAAAATCTCTTTTTAATACAGTGTAAGGTTTAATTTATCGAGTATATTTTTAAATATGTTTTATTATTAACTTTGATCTTAGTTATACTTTTTAAAATTGTTGCATGTTTTTATGAAGAGTTTCTGAATTATTAGGTTTATGTAACACATTTTATTAAAAGTTTTACACTTATGTCTATGTATTAGTAAATGACAATCTATTGTTGTTTTGTTGAGTTGTGTTTCATATTTTTGACACTGGTTCACAAACTAATGTAAGAGAAGTAGCATTGGTTAGTTTATTTAACTAGTACTTTAATTGACTTAATTGTTTTAGGGTTACTCTTGAGATAAGTTGGGGCAAAAATACAGATGTTGAAAATCTTTTTCTAAAAGTTCTAAGGTTTAAAATTAACTTTAGAGTCTGGTTTATACTGATGGACAGACTTTTTTCCCCTGTGCCTATGGTCTTTAATCCTATTTATACTGGCAGACAGTAAAGTAAGCCTTCTAATGCTACTTGGACTATTATGGTGTTTGATGGAGTGGCTGGTTAAGCTCCATCTCTGTAAATGAAAACCATTTCCTGTGGCAATTGTAAAGGGGTAGATTCAGTGTTGAGAACAGAACTGAGCTATAATTGCATTAGGAATCTGTATTTTTATACACAGACTGATAGGGAGCAATATTTGAAGTTTTGCTTTTGTTTTGTTCAATCCCAAAACCACTGGATTTGATGCAAAAATCTCTTTTCACAGAAGTAAGGCTCTTTAATTCTTGGGGTTTAAAGGATGCTTCTGGAAGGAATTTGGTCTAAACACTCTGTCTGCCAGAGGGATTTATAACCAACTGGGCAAGGTGTGGAGGAATGGGTTTTGGTATGGGCTAATATCTACTGGCACACTGACTGAACACGTTGGAAGTGGCTGATGCACTGGGTGAGGTTACTCAGGCATTGGTTTTGGTTGAATGAAGGCATTGCTGAAGGCAAACAAAACAAAAAGACATAAACATGGCACCAGATTGAGCTCTGTGTTCCCAGTTCCTGCATGTGAAGTAAGAGGTGCTAGTTTTCAGCTGTTCACATCTGTGTGCTGTTTTGCTCTCAGAGCTGCCAACGTGGGTTTGTGTTTGATATGGTTTTACACTCTTTGCTGGAACCCACTTTGGTCCTGAAGAAACATGCTTGATCCTGGATCCTGGCACTGGTCTAATAAGTGGGGAGTCCTTCTATTGAAATATCAGAGGTGCTGTGGGCATATGTAAAACAGAGAGAGAATGAGGAATGGCCTGGAGCCTTTCTGCAGTGTGCAAACAGCCTTTTGTTGTGTCATTCCCTGAAAACAGGCTCTCAGTGTAAGCTGACCAGACAATATTTTCTGAGATCTGTCCCTTGTCCCAAACCCATTTGTTTTGCACAAACTCTTTGCTTCAACTCAATACCACAACCTTCTCCACAGCTCTCATCCATTCCTGGAGGTGTCTATTCCAAAGTTACTACAATTCTAATCCATGCAAGAATTTTCCCCTTTATACTGCAAACCCTGACAGAGCTCCCTCCTCATCTTCTGCCCTGAACTGCCTCAGTTTCTCATTTACAAGAACCAGGCATTTTCATTAAAGCTGATTACAATTAAGAAAATTTTAACATTTTTTTAAAAATCATGACTTCCTGGTGCTAAAGAAATGGATTTCTGTTTTTACTATCAGAGGTCCTGTTTCTGCTTTCTTCCAAAACCACTCTTCTAGATCCAGCAGTCATCTTTCTCTTTCCTTTCTCCCATGCTTTTGCCTTTGTACTATCTGGATTGATGTTCCTCTAACCCAATTCCACAATGTCTGCAATCCAGAACTCCTTCATGGCAGCCCCCCTCCTTTGATCCTTCTCAGTAGTAGCTGTTCTTTCCCTGCTCTGCGCCTGCTCCTCACCCCAGCTAAGCTGATTAGGGCTCTTAGGGTGAGGATGTCTGGGTGCAGGCATGGAACAGGAGCAGAATGAAACAACAGCTTTAAAAAAACCCTACCCAAGACAGAAAAAAAAAAAAAAAACTGAGGAGAGGAGCATTGCATGGTAGTTGTCCTGAGTATTCATGCAAGCTCAATAGCAAATACATTCCTTTGCTTGTTGCCTACCAAAAAAAAACAAACCCCCCCCCCAAAAAAAAAACCAACAACAAAACACAACATTTTTGAAACTTACATTTCTTTCAATAAAGTAACTGTAGAAAATACGAGTTAGGATTAGCCTGGTGGGGAAAAAAAAAAAAGTCAATTTTTTCAAGCAGCCCTCAAAATATCAAGCACAGAAAAATAATAAAACAGAAATTTTCAATGTGCAGTTTAACAAATGTTTGATCTCAATGAATCATCAAGTCAAAGGAGGGAAAAAACCCAACAAAACACATTTATTGCATGGCAACACTGAAGTGGTGGGAGTTTTATCTGGCACAGAAGAAATAAGAGAAGGAAGGTTAACCATTCAGTGCCTTAAATCAAAGCTGTTAACTTTTTTTTTTATCCTTAGTTCATTCCAAACATGCTTGCCTGAATATAAACTGTGGGAGATCCCAGGTACGAAAGCAGGGGATGCTGTAACACAAGGGCAGGACCTGGACTTGGTCTTGCTGATCCTCACCCTGCCAGGCCTGCAGCTCCCTGGGTGCTCCTTCCAGCCCTTCTGCACACAGCTGTCCCACAGGTGTCCCACGGGTGTCCCAGGGGTGTCCCACGGGTGTCCCACAGGTGTCCCACGGGTGTCCCAGGGGTGTCCCACGGGTGTCCCACGGGTGTCCCACAGCCACAACTGCTGGGAAATGATGCAAAGGGCCTTGGGCAGTGCCCCTGGGTGGGTGCCAGCTGTCCCCATGGACCTGTGTCAGAAGCATCCATTAGTGTTTCAGTATAACTAAAGGGGAATGTCAAGGAGCTGGATAAAAGGACTATTGCACTTCCCTTGGAATCCCAGAGCAATAACATTTTGCAACAACCTTCCAAACATCAAAAGATGTCTCTTGTCTGCTATAGCAGAACTCCTGTATAAAAGATCATGGGGATGTTTAATTACTTCTTTGTGCATTACAAAGTGATTCAACCTGGATTTATATAAAGATTGGCAGACATAGCAGGGAGAAAGAAAACACCTCAAATCCCAGAATGTCACTGACATAAGGCTGTGAGGAACCTGAGGGCTGGTACTGGTACAGGGATACCCACACAGGAACTCCTCACACAGTGGTGCAGTGTGGGTGAAAATGCACAACTCACACTGACCTTTAGCTGTGGGGGCTGAGAAAGGTCAAACTGCCCTCCTGGATTCTCATCTGTGTGGCACAAATGAACCTCACACACGAGAGGTTTTGCTGCTGTGGGGGGAACCTTTCACCAGGTGGTGATAATCTGGCATCTCAGCCTCTTTCCCCAGGGAGTGCTAATCCGGAATAACAGGACACAAAAGCTCCCCTTTGGAATGTCACATAAACTGCCTGCTGCACTTCCAAGCTAACTGAGATGCAAATTGGAGACACAATGTTAGAGCCTGTCTCCCTAACCCTACATGAAGACATTCCACAGTGGGAGGGACAGCTACCTACAAGAGAAGAACATCTTTCATGCCAGTATGTTCAGACCAAACAGTTTACAGCCCTTGTGCTACCAGAGCCAAGAACATTTCAGCTGTATGCTGCTTTCATGGCTCCTGACTTCAGCAGGCAGACTGCATTTAACACAAAAGTCATACTGCTTTTTCATCACATAAAATAATCCCCTTTCGTGGGGAAGTCAAGAGAATGAGAAGCCTGATGGATGTCAAAACCTATTCCATTAAATAAAGGTAATGGCAAAACTCAGGAGAGGCAGCAGCACTTTACAGTGAGTTCCCATTTATTCATTTTGTTTCAAAGCCAACAACAACTCCTATAGTCTTAGACTCCAAGAAAAGAGAGCATTTGCATTTCAGATTTTATCAGACTTCTAAAGACACTACCTACAGCACACACAAGCATGTCTAATGCATGCTCACAAGCTCTTAGGGAATCATTATGCTCAAATTCAAAATGCATTAATGGAATCAGTATAAAATAAGATAGAATAATCACCCTGAATATCAGCAGTAAACCTACCCAAACAGTGACTACATGGAAGATTTACCTCTGACCTCTGTAATAATCACGTAAAGCACAAATTAGAGACAAGCAGAGACAGCAATTAATTCCATAAGGAACAAAAATCAGACACACAGTAAGTGTTCTGTTAAACCATGAAACTTGGTCAGTATGTTCCTGCTAATGTCCTGTGACAGACATCCCTGTAGGTGCAGGAGGACACTGCTGCTCTGCCATACACACCCCTACCCAGCCCTGCTATTCCTGTTAGCAGCACTCCTGGAAAGTGGGGAAATAGTGCATCTCTCCATACAATGATGTGTAAAGCTCTCCACAGTTTTTTCAATTCCTTTATGTTTGAGAGCATGAGAAACGCTCTGATGAATTCATAAATGCTTTCCTATGTGGTTTCTGCCTTTCCTGAACAATAACAATGGAAAGAATGGGAAAGAGCAGATTCCTTTGCTGCTGCTGCTGGCTGCCTTTGCATGAAACTGTGGCAAGTGAAATAAGGCAGCAGGAACACACACAGGACACTTGGAGCCAGCCCTGACAAGGCAGCAGCGCGTGGCGCCAAGCAGATTGTGCAGAAAGCAAAAGACAAACAGCAGCAAAACGTGGCACAGGCTGCAAACTTGTAAAGCACTGAAAACATTTACTCTTTCAAATACATTCTAGGCACAGTGGGACATCAGGCATTTCATACATTTTTGCTGCAAGTGGCCTAAAGTAAAATATACCAGGTAAGTGGCAACCTAAGCAAAGAATACAAATGTCCTAGAAAAGCATTTGAAAACAAAACAAAAACATAGTTGTAAAGTACTTCCAGTAGCTGAGAAAAAGAAGAGCAACAGAAGAAAGGTCACTGGCATACCTATCAAACTAGATGCTGAACAGTTAAGAGGATAATTTTGACATTTTTAAGAAGATCAGCAACTCTCCAGCTCTTGATTTTTGCATGTAACATATTGTATTAGTTCATTATATGAGTTGAGATTTAATATTCAAAAAGAGAGATAAATACACCAATGGAGAATCCTCTCCCATTGTGAAATTCTGCAACTGAACCACACTCACATGATATCTAATTCTGTCAGCAGTTAAGTCATTTGATACAAAAAAACCCTACAAAGAGTCGGAGTTTTCTCGTTCTCAGCATCCCTGACGCAATTTACAAGCTTTTCTAAGCAGAAGATCCAAGTTTGAAGTTTCTCAGTACTAGAGCAATTCCCACCACTTCAGGAATGGGCAACGACAGAAGGAGGCTGCTACAGTTCTCACTAATGGTACAAAAACCATCACAAGCAGATCTGGATTTTGTGAATAACCCCAGTAGTAGCAGTTATTGGAAACCTTTTCTAAAGCTGGATTTGGGTAAAACTTTGTTTTATCAAAAATAAGAAGTCTGCAGCTCAGCTGTTACAGAGGCTGGCACTCATTGTTTTCTCCCACGTTTCTGTGTTTATGAAAGGGTGAAATATTAAATCCTGGTTTTTACATGAACATAAGAATTGCTGTCTTCTTTAAAATATTCGTCTTTTGATTAGCAAGTATCTGACACAGACAAACACCATGGTATTTATATAAGGAGCAAATGCACTCAAGGACACTTAGTTTTCTTTCTGGAAATGCTGTGAGGCAGTGTGTTCTGATACAACTCAAAGACTTTTATCCGTTTACAAATATCTCAATTCCAAGCCTACTTCTACTCGACTTTAAATCACACTGAGAGGAACACTGAAATTGCTGTGTCAGATAAGAGCACTGGATCTCTTCCAGCTTTCTGTCTCAGAGCAGCAAGTCCTGGGTGTTTGAAATGAAAACTGCAAAGATCTCCATAGGAGACAGCTCTTATTCAGTAACGTGGCCATACAGCACCTTGCTTTTTTCTTTTCCTACAACCCATTAGTTACTTTATGGCTTTTACAGTAAAACAAGGTCTTTTATGTCTTTTAGCTTTTACTAAACACCCCTGTGACCTCTTTATGCACTTGAACAGCACCAGGGCACATCACCTTAGAAGTCCCTCAGGAACTGTATTGTGGGCTTCAATTATCATAGAATTAACTGAACTGTGCAACTGAAATGGGACATATTGGTGATGAAAACAAAAACAAAGGTACATTTGGCTTTCCCTTCAAAGTTCCTCTCTCCTAGTTTTCTTATGAATTTCAAGCTAAATAACACTGCAGCACCACTCTATTTAGAGCTGCTCTGTATATTAGATTTGTGCACTCTTATTTTAACATTTGGGTTCTTTTTAGTCCTGCATTGATAGAATAAAGCACATTCATTTCCTAGAAGTTTACAGACTTACAAAGAAGGAAGGAAACATAGGAAACTGCTTACATAGGAAACTGCTCAACCCAGAGCAGCAGAAATGGCCACAGGAAGCATTTCTGTTGTGTTAATTATATTGGCTGTTCCTCCTCTGCATTTCAACCTGGTCCAGCTGTCTAAATCACAAATAAATGATGGCACAAACTTACGCTGGAGAGCAAAGCAAGCAGCCACTCCATTCCCCTAGGACACACACAGAAGATCCTCCTGTGACAGAAGAGGTTTCCTGTAAGAGGGAGGGAGGGATGGAGGGATGGATGGATGGATGGATGGGTGGATGGATGGATGGATGGATGGATGGATGGATGGATGAAGGATGGATGGATGATGGATGGATGGATGGATGGATGGATGGATGGATGGAGGTGCCCCTGCTTTCCGTCTGCCTGGCTCAAAGTGGTTTTCAAACCGAGTCCCAGTCCATGTTTGTGAGTGTTTCTGTTTCCTCTCAGCTCTGTCACCATCCAGGGACACAAAATGCAGCGCAGCTCAGGCTCAGCTCTCCTATCCCCCCACATGGGCAGGCCACAGTCTGTAGCTGGTTATCAACTGCAGCATTTCTTGCTTTCCAACCACTGCTGTGTGCAACCAAGCTGCAGGAGGAAAAGGTGCCTCTAAGCCTCTTACCTACTTAGGAGATAAAGAATGCTGGCTAGAAGGATTTACAAAACACAAAAATACAACATGCCTGTCCTAATGTTCTTGCAAGAAAGAGAAGTAAGAGTGAAAACTCCAACTCTTCTTTCCATGGCAGCTTCCTCCCCTCTACCCTTCAGCACTGTGTCCATCAGCAATTAGCAGCTTGTAGATCTTTACTGTTCTACACACAGATTGAGTCATTTTGGGTTGGATTGTCATTTGTTTGCTGTCCTGGCCACTGGCTGAAAGACACTTAGTTTTAATAAACAGAGTAAACTGTCACAGAACCCAAAATAAATATGCAGGAACCCAGAATTATTTTTTAAATTAATTCATGACATGGAAGTCTGCTGCACTTTTTTAAAATCAACCAAACAGGCTGGGGTTTGGTTGTATGGGTTTTTTTTATTTTTTTCTGTTATTAATCACATTTAATTTGAGACAATTATTATCTTGGGTAGACATGAGAAGAGGAGCTAACAGGTCATTTGAATCACATGTTGTTTCTTCAGAGCTCTGTGTGTCAGACACCCCAATAGGAAAAGACAAAGAAGGATGGCAAATACAGACTG